GGCAAAAAAAAAAAAAAACCTTACAAAAGCATGGTTCAGTTTACTCCAACATGGAGGAAAAAATCCTTCCTGAGCCCATAAGGCAGGGGGTAGCCAAACTCCGGCTCTCCAGCTGTGCTGGAACTACAAATCCCAAGATGCATTGCAAGATTCTCACAGCCACGACTCCCGGAGAGAGATGCATCATGGGATTTGTAGTTCCACCACAGCTGGAGGGCCGGAGTTTGGCTACCCCCGCCATAAGGCAATGGGAAATTCCCTAGATGAGCACTCCACAGTATTGTTCATTATAAAATGTTAATATTTAGTTATATTCATCGTCGTCATGGCTTAGATTGACAAATGCAAAGAATGGATGCGTGGTAACGGAGCTACATGCCCACAGAGGATTTTACTTTATCAGATGAGCTCCTACTCCAGTGGTTCTCAACTTGTGGGTCGCGACCCAAAAGTGGGTCACAACCCACTGTTGAGGGGGGTCACCACATGCTTTGTGCTGAGCTAGGTGAGAGGCTCCTCAGCCAACTCCTAGAGCAGCAGTGTCAGTTGTCTGGCCGCGCCGCCAGATGGCGCTGCAGCACCGGCAGCCGAGGAGGATCAAAGAGGGGAGCAGGCGGGAGTGAGGGGAGTTGAATGACGGCTTGGCCACCAGAGAGCCTGCACGGGCCACCAGAGGGCCTGCACGGGCCACCAGAGAGCCCCATTGAGCTCACATGAGCCCACACAGATACTAGCATTGGTGCATTCCTAAATTTTACCATTGGGGGGGGTCACCACAACCTGGCAAATGTTACCAAGGGGTCCCAGCCCTAGAAAGGTTGAGAACCACTGTGCTACTCTAATATGGAGAAGGCCGAAAAGGCAACGCAGGGCCTCTAAACCCACCAAGGATCTTTTTGGTCTAGGCCAGGGCTCAAAATTTCCACTCGCCCCCTCGCAATTGGCGAGTGAAAATTGCGTGGGGGCGAGTGGGTCAGGTGGGGCGACTGGTGGCGAGTAACTCTTAAGGCCTGGCTAGTAGCTCAGGACTTGAAATTTTGAGCCCCGGTCTAGGGGACCCCTTAAAACATGAGGATGCCATTCCATCGATGCAACCCAGCCAGCAGGTGGAGACTAGTGACTCCCAGGCCCCTCAAGGTCAGTTACAATTCTAATTCAGTGTTGCAAGGACAATAGTAATCCTAAAAGGCTTTTGTGGCCACTATGCTGTACCCCTCTACCGAATATGAGGCACATACACCAGACACAGACAGCGGGGACTTACTACACTGTCCTGAAGCAGATCTTCAAGCCGGGTCACGGTGATGGAGCGATCACAGATGTATTTCCTGCGCATGGTGTCATTGATCTTCTTCAGATGATCTTCAGTGTCTTTCACGTCTGCAAAGAACTGTGCGGGAAGAGGAGGCAATGTGAGATACATTATATACAGCTCGGGGGATCATTGTATATATACATGTCGGGGGATCATTGTATATATATATATATATATATATATATA